TTTTTTTTATAAAATACGCAAAATTCAGTTACAGTTGTATGCAGCCTTTTTTTCTCGCATTTGGTAACTGGCACATTTGTTTAATTCCTCAGAACTTAAAAATAAATGTCTGAAAATCCCGAGGTTTAGGTCTCATCGCTCAAGAAGTTATACCTCAATAAAAAAATAAGGTTTCTGCGGTTTCTATACCTTCGTTAATAATAATTATATGTGTAAATATCAATAAATAGTTATTCAAAACAAAACTAACGGTTTATATGACCAGTTTACATGCTGAAATCGAGAAAATCAGGAAATTTCTAGTGCAACTCGCACAAAACCGTATCTAAAATGTTTGTATCTTTATAGAGTAGTTACAAAATTTGGTAAGAACTAAAGATATTCGCCCTCATTGCGAGAGCCGTGTCGAATGCAAGTCGTTTTTCGAGAGTCGAATCGTATCTTAAGTTTCACGCCATTGCCTAGATTTCCACTCGACTAGTGTATTAAAGTGGGAAAACTTGGCAGCACTGTATAGTTTACGACGATTTTCGTCGTTTACTTATTTCAGCACGGCTGTATACAATGCCAATATTGTCGAGTCGTACAATTGAGCCTAATTTACGACTTACGCAATGAGGCTGATTAAGTTGGAAATTTCTGCAAAATCTTAGGTTTGATGAACACTGAAACTGGTTTAATGATGTAGCAGTTGATTTAAAATTGTATCATGCCTTTAGGGAGTAATCTACCAATCTTTATGCGAAGCTGATTTTCGTTATATTAAGGTAACGGTAGGTATGTATATTAGGAATGTTAATCCCGGGATCCCGGCCTTTTTTAGGGCCCAAAAATCCCGGGATTCTTGGCGAATAATCCCGGGATTTTCGGGATTTGTAATTTGCACTGATGCACTATGGTTTAAACTTCATTTTTTTTGACATTAATTTAAAAAAAAATTAAAACAAGTAAGAAAGTCTAAGTTCGGGCGGAGCCGAGCATTAAATACCCGGCGCAAGTATTAAATATATGTTTTTCACCTTTCCGAAACCTACCGCTACATGGTACGCTGGGGCATATCAATTTTGAGTAAATTAGAGTCCTTAAATTTCGAAATTTTGAAGTTTCAAGCTATTCTGAAATTTACCGTTATATGAAAACCGGCCTCATTTTTAGTCCGATTTCAATAATTTTCAACGCTTTGCTTCTATGTTGCAAATTGGTAGAACGGTTACCGAGATACATATATGTGATCATAAGTGGGCGGTGCCACGCCCATTTTCCAAAATTTTATCACAAACATATTTCTTGGTTAAGAATTGTTGTAAGCGCCAATTTTGAATAAATTAGCTTTAATATTTACTCATTTATCGAAGATTTTGTATTTCTCTAAATTACCGTTATATGGGATGTGGGCGTGGTTATTGTCCCATTTTAAAAATTTTCGGCCATTTGGTATGATGTGCGAAGGCCAACAACTGTGCCAAGTTTGGAAAGTTTTGAAATTGGTAAAGCGGTTACCAAGATATACACATGTAACCATAAGTGGGCGTGGCTACGCCCATTTTCCAAAAATTTATAATATTCTTATTTTTCGTCTAAAACTTATTGTAAATATCAATTTTGAGTAAAATACCAAATACCAAATTATTACGATAAAAAAGTTATTACACGAAACGTCCACCAACTTTTCCCAAACTTGGCACAGTTGTTGGGCTTGGTAAAATATACCAAACAGTTTTAAAAAAAATTAATATTTTAGGCAAAAAATATTTTTTTTCTTCATACATTTATTTTTACCGGCAAAACAGTTGATTATATAGAAAAACGTTATATGAACAGAATAAAGGAATTGTATATTTTAATTTTTTTTAATTTGTTTGAGCAAAATCGGACTAGTGGTTCTCGAGTTATGTCAAAAAAAGACCACCAAAGGTGACAATTTCCCCTATATGATAGTTATATATATATCTCGATTCCTAGACGTGACCCAGCGAAACGCCGGGACACGTATAACTTGTTTTTGACCGATATAACATTTCCCGTTGGTTTCATCCCATCCCGATTTTGACTGTCGCATAGTGTTATCGGATTTAAACCAAAATAATATGGGACCACCTGTGAGGTAACACCTTTCCTTTAAAAAAAAAAGAAATTTAGTTTTATAAAATTTTAAGAGTTTACACCAGGTTCTGCTGCGTTAACGCACCTCATTAAACAAAGTCTCAAGACCAAGTGAAAAGAAAAAAATTATTAAATTTTTAAGCTTAGCATACATCTATCACGAAAAACTAAATTTTCGCATATTTACACGTTTAGATGAATACAATTAATATTTTCATAGAGCATTTTAAAAACTTACATGTGTTTCATCCAAGTCAGAAACTCGTGTAATGCTAGACAAAAAATTCATTGCATCAAAATAGTATAGGGTTGATATTCCAGACGAAGATCTTTGTTTTAATGCCCGCCTAAAATTTGTGCGGAGCGCCTGTATTTTTTCTTTAACATTAGTCACCGTCGCATTTGGGTATTTCTCTTTATATTTTTTTAGTAAAATATCATACTGCTCCCTTTTTAAAATACGGTCATGGTACGCCTTAGAACTTGTGTCCCACAATGCCGGTAAAGAACGATACTCTTCAATAAATTCGATATTAAATCTTTTATTAGCCTCTTTTTCTTCGATTTTGTTTTTGCTGAGTTCCGGGAAATCGTATTGTGCGTTCTCCTGCTCAAGGGTCAGGTCTGACTCGCTGTCGGTATCGTTTATCTCTTCTGATAACGTAGCTGCTCCATTATCTTCGAAAGATTGCTGTAAATATTTGTGTGGTAAGCAAATGCAAATAAGTTAACTTTTTCTCATACTTTGTTGAAAATAAAAGCAGCCTTTACTGATTTTGCATAGGAAGTATGTCATTGTACATTTTAGTAAAATTTTGTTAATTAATTTTAAATCTCTAACTCTTTGGAATGAAATATGCTGAATATGCGTTCGAAAAGAACGAGGAAAGCATCAGTTACAAACGTGTATGTTTCAATAGTAGCGCGCATTGTGAAGAGCAAAGCAAACATATGTGACCTGGTCTACGGAAAGGGGGCTTAGGTGTCAAAAAATCAATTTTCACTTTTTGGTTGAATCGGATGGAAGATGAGATGCTTTTTCACGTGGTGAAAAGCAGAAAATCCTAACTTGCTTAGAAGTGTACTAAAAATGTAGAGAAAGAAGAGTAAAAATACGACAAAATATAATTTATTGGTAATGAACAAAATACATTGAATTATAAGCTATAAAGACATGATTATACACTAGAAAAACGTATTATGGGCCAAAAATAATAATGCTGAGTAGTTTATGTATTTTTCTTTGTTGTCGTTTTGTTACCAGCTCCTCCTCCTTTACATCAACAACATACAGGTCCATCTTAACAAAAGTTTGTTCGGTATCATCTTCTGCCTGAGATACACATACTTCGTCTTCATCATCATCGCTCTCTTCATAGTTTTCATCATCGTTTTCATCATCCTTTTCATGGAAATATTGTCCGTATACGGCACTGAACTCCTCATCAACACTCATGTTTCATTTCATGCGAAATGCGAAGACAATAATCAATAGAAACAGTAAACGTCACTTCTTCAGTGTTACTTTTTTAAATGTTCCACACTAGCAACTTACACGATGAACTATAATAATATTCCGACCAACAGCAATACTTACTGGACCAACAACAACACTTACTGGACCAACAACAACACTTACTGGACGTCCGGCGCGGAGAACAATTAACGAGATAATGAGAAACTGACGAAACGAGTTGCTTACTTTTAACAGCTTTTTCACAGAAAACTAGTTTTCGCACGTAAGCTCCCTTTTCGTAGACCAAGTCACATATATGTATACACGTTTTAGTCACCCAGCGGCGCACTGCTAAATGGGGTCACATACTGGTTTACTTGAATTCGGAAAGTATGCTATGACGGAACACTCTTCAGCAGATGGCAACTAGCAACCGGAAGCTAACAACTGAGATGCTATATTGGTCCCTGCCTTCTGTGGATGCCGTGGAAACTTTGATTGAGATTTTTATTTATTTTTTTCCAACTGTTTCATCAGCTTATTTGCACTCAAGTCTTAGTTGCTACTACTTATAAATTTTGTTATCTTCAGCTGTATAGCACTTAACTATAGCTGCTAATCATAAAATATAGTGGCGTTGCTCATCGGCAACCCAACTATAGTTGCATTACAATCGTAATCGACCCATAAGTATTCGCTTCTAAATTGGTCAGCGGTGTTGTAATCAATTATTTGTATGGTGGACGTTATACAGATTCTGGTTGGACCCGATTTAGCAGTCCGCCGTTCCAGTATATTATTAAATTTGCCCACGATGAAGTCCTCAACTGACTCTATGATTGTGGCTAGAGCGAGAGCCATTCCTCCGACCAACCAAAATATGGAATTTAGTTTTGCGTTTACCCCTGAGTTGGAGAAGAATCCTAGTGGAAGCAATCATGCATTATAAAAGAACTGTGCGAGGCGTGGCAAAATTTTTGTGGCCACAGGCCATTATAGTTTATTTCACTACGAATGTACCATTCATAGCGTAAAATTGTAAGCACTGAAAGACTATTGACAACCAAGCGTTAAAAAAACAATTGTGATGCCAGCAAAGCTGCCATTATTCTCTATTACCTCTATTCTGCAACACTTTCGTATTCGAATTTTGCTACGAATCGTAGAAATGGTATGCTGCAATCCGAATCGTATCTTCGAACCTTCGAAATTCGTAACAATGGCATGCCTAAAAACGAACGAGTAAGAAATTTACACACCCCTATTCTGCAACTCTTTCGTATTCGGATTTTGCTCCGAATCGTAGAAACAGTATGCTGCAATCTGAATCGTATTTTCGAACTTTCGAAATTCGTAACAATGGCATGCCTAAAACGAACGAGTAAGCTTTTTTGCGTAATTTTGTACGAAAACAATTCTGTGTCTGAGGCGAAATAAAATATGTAAATCGATGTGTGTTTGCAAGAAATATTGCTGATGTTCATTTAAACCAGTGGTGCACACGGCAGTCTCCGGGAGCTACTCGGCTTTCACATACAAGTCGTGTGTGCGCAGCTACCAAGGCGAATTTATACAAGGTGGTGTTGATGGCGAATTTAGATTTTCGCCGAGCTGTTTTGCTGAGTACACACATACAGATACAAAAATATTGCGCTTGTATTGGGAGCTCTGCCAACGCTGTGCACCACTGATTTAAACAGATAAATTTGCCTTTCGCATATACGTATATTTTTATCCACTGCTTTATATAAACGAACAGAAAAAAATATTTGTTGCCCCTTATGGAGAAACTTGGGTCCGGTTTATTTAATGTACAACGATTTTCAGTTGTTGTGTCCAAACGCATAACCCGTATCCAAAAACTTTAACACACACGTGTAATCAAAGGATTCACATTTTATTTAAGATAAATGTTTCAAATTTCTTACCACTTATTAATAACCTCGGTTTGCACTATGGACTTTTTTGCAAATTTCGACGTGGGTTCTGCTCAAAAATACTGTGGACGGCGTAGCCGAAGTGATATGCAGAAGAAATGTTGTATACCTTTGACATGCGGAAGCCCCTCTTCCCCGCAACAAAGAAAGGAGAATTCTACTTAGTAAGGGCCGAAGGCAGAAGCAAGCGCAACAGGTGGTGGACCTAACAAAGTGCATGTTTTCAATGGTTTGGAGGAAGCTGTTATTGCATTAACTGGATTGAGAACCAGAGCTTCAGGCATAGGAGTTCTGGCTTGTGGTTCAACATTTCAACCAGAAGCTGACATAGATGCGCCCATGGTTACTATGCCCGACAGCTCCGCATACCTTTGTGAATCCATTGTCATACCGCCCGCTTACTCTGCTGCTATAATTGTAAACACATCAGAATCCATAATTTTCCTCAAAATATGTGAAATTAACCAATTTTACAATAAAAAAGCACATGATGAGTGTTTTTTTAATTCCTTTCCACTTTGTTTTCCTTCATTCAGCTATCTTCGAAAAACAACTGGTAGCCGGCCATGATTCAATAATGAAAGGTTTTGTAAGAAAAACTTCCTCTCGCTGTAATTTATCAATGACACTCCCACCCTACTCCTAAAAACAAAAACAGTGATATTTCTTTTCCAAATTTCTTTGCAAGTTTTAAGAACATTTTTAAATTGTTCTTCATTCGCTGGCACCAACAAGACAAAATGAGTTGGACTACAGAAATTCAATGTAGGCTAAAGAGACGAAATTCCCTTAAATGCCGACATGTATTTGTCGATTTTCGTGGAGACCTCTTGATTCTGCTTGTTTAAATTAGATAATTAAATCAAATTCGTTTTTGTTTTAAAATACCACCATTCACTATTATCCACACCTTTTTATGGAATTTAGCTCCCATTTTAGGAAGTGTGATTGAATTCTTCCCCTTTTTCTCCTGCTTCCATAAACCATCAAATCAAATTCGTTTTTGTTTTAAAAAACCACCATTCACTAGTATCCACACCTTTTTATGGAATTTAGCTCCCATTTTAGGATGTGTGATTGAATTCTTCCCCTTTTTCTCCTGCTTCCATAAACCATCAAATCAAATTCGTTTTTGTTTTAAAATACCACCATTCACTAGTATCCACACCTTTTTATGGAATTTAGCTCCCATTTTAGGAAGTGTGATTCAATTCTTCCCCTTTTTCTCCTGCTTCCATAAACCATCCCTATGGGTGGGAGTGCCAAATTTTAGAAAAAAGCTACTTACAAAACCTTTAATAATTGAATCATGGTAGCTGGCAATGCTGCACATTTTTCCGCAAGGGTTGCAACATGTCGATTTTGCGTTTTTCGTAACGTAGCTACGTATTACGAATTACGAAAATTCGGGTTCTAGAATAAGGGTGATTAACTCTCATCAAAAAATGTCTTGTGACCACATATAAGTTTGTGAAAACCTCTTGTAATAGGTGGCATACACGGTACGTCTGACTCGAGAGTCATTTGTGTACGTGTTAACTCGCCTTCGACTACACACAGTTGAATCATTCAGTCATGCCGGGAGCAGTGTTGCCAGGTCTTCAGCATGAGAACACGTCACTCTTGGTCTGAAAAAACGTCATTGCCTACCCAAAAACGTCTTTTTCAAATGAATGTACATAAATTGTTCTTATTTAAACTTTTATTGTATACAAAGGTACATATCGAGCCCTAACCTCCAAAATAATGTAAGCGACATTTTTTCAAAATTTTCTTTTTGATGCAGAAATATCCCTAGAGCATCTAGATACATTAGGGCTCGATATGTACGTAAGGTATATTAAAATATCATTTCGACAGAGCACTTTTAAAATTCATTGTAAACTGGTTTGAGATCGTTAATTTAAAAGTCATTTTATACATACACTTGTGATCAGCTGATTAAGTCATCAACATTTTGATCGATTTTGGCTGTTTCTCTTTCGTTTATTTAATGTTTATTATTTTTAAATAAAAGCCAAGCTCATTAACAAACAAAATATAAATCCACAAAAATTGTGCAAAAATTATAAACAATCTGCAAATTTTCAGCTAGATTTTCAACTTTCTATTCAGATTTTTTAGCCCATTAAATTTCAGGGCAATAACGTGCAAGGTTAAAGGGGCTAAATAATCGCGTTGATTTTTAACAATTTATTTTTTCTTGTAGAAATTTGTTTAGGGCTCGGTTGTCGAAAATGCTAAATTACGTTCTGCTAAGAAGGAACATAGCAATAGGTTTAATCAATATCAAATAAT